CCCCCCCCCCCCCCCATGGGGGTCCGCCCCACTATTTTATATAAGTACTGGATTAAGAAGAGATAGCAATCATAGAGGTGGAGCCCCTCCCTCATGACAATTATTCAGTCTTTAAAAATTTAACAGCAAACCATGCCAAAAAAAAAATTATACTATTCTCAGCCTCTGTAACAGAGTTTGCAGCAAAGTTTCGAGGAGAGATTGAGAGGAAAGTCTGCAGAAGGAGAACCTTACAGTATGAGTTCAATGTAACTTAGGTGCAAGTGTACAACAAAATACAACTACATCAGCTTTCATTGCTCCTTCAAAAAAGTACTGTAGGACAGGTCTCCCTGCAGGTATCATTTGGACAGTGTTTGAATCCTGGAGAATCTACACTGAGCCAGAGGTCTAAAAAAGGCTAACTTTTTTTCATAAATAAAATAGCTTCATACATTTTGTGAGGTCTGTGTAGGATCTTTGTACCAAAAAGTGAAGCAATGTATTTCTTTTTTACCTCGGTGAAATTGGTTTCAAATGCTTTGAATCTTCTTTTCCAGGAAAAAGAACAGCATCCTAGTACTAACGCTCATGTATTTTGCTTTGGTTATTGAACTTTTCAACTGATTCCAGGCAAATTTTTACAGCATGGCTCACCTGGGTGGCTGTTAATAAAAATCTTCTTCTCCCCTGCAGTGTGGGCGTGATCATTTTGGTCACCAATTGTGACCGTCAGTGTGCTGGTCACAGTTTTGACTGGACGCCCACTGTCGCTCATCACTATTGGTATGAGGTATTCCTTCTGTCGCTCGCGGTCAAATGTCCTCAGGGCCATGAGGGTGGCTGTGCCGTTTTGGTGGTCCTGCAGGTAGAAGTCATTACTGTGACGGTACTCAGAAGGGATGGTGAAACGAAAGGGAGGGCCGTTCTCTGGAGAGTCCTGGTCCAGCACTCGGAGGAGGGTGGATGTCTGGTTGAGTCTTACTACCTGAACAAGGAGGTACAATAAATAAATAAAAAACACGATTATACCAAAATATTATTTCATGTTGATGCAGAAATTTGGCAATAAAACCGAGGACAGAAAATGTTTCATAAGGCCTATAGTAGAGAGAAAAATATGTAAAAGTAAGCCAAAAATATTACACTGAAAGATTCAAGATTTAAGAACTGAAAGTACACAGTTTAAAACACACATGTCCAACATATGGCCCGCGAGCCAAATCCAGCCCATTTGGGGTTTCAATCCAGCATGCTTGATGATTTTTTTGAAAAAAAGAAAGAAAATACACAAACACTTCGTATTCAGGAAACGTTTGCAAAATTATATATAATTAAATATGAAGATTTATCAAAATTCTTTTATGCATGTAAACGAAGAGGGAAAATTATTTACCGTAATATTCGGACTATAAGACGCTACTTTTTTCACACGCTTTGGACCCTGCTGCTTAAGCAATGATGCAGTTAATTTATGTATTTTTACGGGGCTAACGAAATTACAATATAAATTATTATCTTGATTGTACTCGTTAGTTAGTTTGAATGTGGCCCCTGGACCCAAATGAGTTTGACACCCATGTTTAAAAATATATATAAACATGTTTTGTGTCCTAAAATAATGTAAAACAGCTTAACAGTAGGTGAGAAAAAAAGCTGCTTGTTACCTTAGAAAAGCACTGGAGTACTAACTTTAAGAGCTACAATTTAGATAAAAAGAACAAAATAAGCAAACGTTAGCATAGACATAGCTAAAGGTTTGGTAAAAAAAAAAAAAAATAGAAATACTATAGCGCCTAACATACTAGTGAACATCTTGACGAGTTTTAAAGTACAGTGTCCCACCCAAATGTTACTACATCAAACCCACCTGTGGTCCCGGCACATTTTCAAACACCACTGGAGAATAGGCTGCCTCAAACTCTGGTCCATTATCGTTGACGTCCAACAGAGGCAACTGAACTGTGGCACTTCCTGTCAGAGCAGGATTTCCGTGGTCCACTGCCATCACCACCAGGGAATGCTGAGGAGTTCTTTCACGGTCCAGAGGACGAGCTACATACAGAAGTCCGGACTGGTCTATAGTAAACAGACCTTCAGGGTCTGAGTCCTGGGAGAGGCTGTAGGTGAACTCAGAGTTCTGGCCTGAATCTGAATCACTGGCCACCAAACGGGCAACGCTGGTTCCCACGGCGATGTCCTCAGGGAGTGCAGCCAGAGACAGGAAGTGAGGGATGAAGACGGGGGCGTGATCATTGTAGTCCTCCACCTCCACTACACAGTGGAGGAGACTGGAGAAGTCCAGGTCTTCAACCTGTACACAGAAAATGTAATTTACTCTACTTAACACGAGGCTGACTTCAACTCTGACTGATTCCATTGTATCCAAAGAAGATGTCTCTATATTTATCAATTTGTTTGATACAAATGTAACTTGATGAGAGGAGAACCTTTTTTTATACCTTCAGTGTGAGGTTGAACCTCTGCTCAGTGTGGCGTTCGTAGTCCAGACGTTTCTTTAGTCTCAGGGTCCCACGCTGCTCCTGTTTGTGACTGACCATGTAGAACTTCTGCTCCTGGTCTCCAGACACAACACTGAAAGTAAGCTTAGAGTTTTCACCAGTGTCTCTGTCTTCGGCAGTCAGCTCCAGAACCTGAGGGACCACAGCAGAACATTGGTGAACTACAAAACCCCGAAGGAGAAAAAGAATCCACGATAATGACTCTCAGTGGGATCTGACCTCACATTTTATAGCTAAGAATTTTTAGTGGGATCTGACCTCACATTTTATAGCCAAGAAAAAATGTTTTGTCTATTTATCTATCTATCTATAGTAGTAGTTCTGTGAAAAAAAAAAAGACAATTTTATAAAACCGTAGCCGAAGGAAATGTAAAAATTAGCCCAATAACATCTGGATGACAGATCGTAAACCTTCAATACTAAAAATGAGAAAAGCAAACACCGTAACTGGAAAAATGGCACTAAAAAATTATTCTGAAACATCCTATTAAAATAAAATTTCCTGGTAAACTATAAAACATTGAGCACTGAGATGGCATAAATCCTATCCGTATGTCATATTTAGTTGCAGGTTACTGCAGTCCAGGTTGACAGATGTTTAAATTTCTGCACCAGTAACTCCTTTGTCATGACAGGGTCTTCTGCAGAACTCACAGAAAACCCCACCTTTTCCAACAAAACCAAGTTTAATATGTAAATCACAAACGTGGTCAGGAAAAAGCAAATCAATGTGCAAATGAACTTCAGACTGGGAGGAAATAAAAAACATCTGCTGCATGAACCAATTTATGATTTCTCATGAGAAAAAGGATTTACTATGACAAAAATGTTGAACTTTTAGAAAACATTTTAATAGCCAAGTTCCTCTTAGAGCTTTATTGATTTCGCAGACTTAAACATTTGTTTGTGTATACTCTTTTCTCTGAAGTGTCTCTCGTGTACTGTCTTTTGGAAGAAAAAAAAACACTGCTGCACTTTAAACTAATTTAAAGTTTATAGTCATCCATCAAAAATGAGGTTTTAAAAAAAAAGCGCCGCGGGTCACTTGGAACGTTTCGTTCCAATTGAATAATTAATCTTTGCCATGTAAAAAGCTGCGGTGATAAACCTCACCTCAGTGTTAGGTTCGGAGTTCTCAGAGATCCTGGTCAGACAGACGTGGTCCATGAACCTGGGAACGTGGTCGTTTACATCTTTAATCTGAATAGTAGCAGTTCCAGTACCTGTGAGTAGAGTTTAGAAATAATATGACTGGAGAAAAGACTATGGTAAGACCATCAGTAAAATGGAAAATCAAGGACATATCTTAAAAATAGGTTTGTCAACATACATTTACATTGACTGTAGGTGCCAACACTAGGGAGATCAGGGATTTTTCTATGTTTAATATAGATATTGGGGCTGTGAAGGTACATGTATCTGTCCCGAAACGTCCAGTACAGGATGTGACAAATACACAGGTGTACCGATCGTACTAAACTATTGAAGAGCAGAGCAAAGTCCAACTTCCACTCCATTTGAGTCACCCATGTTACATTAATTTCCGTATGAACTCGCATACAAGTCGTATTCAAAACACCAAAAAATGAAGATCAAATCAGGGGATCGGCTTATCTGTGCATTTTCCGATCGCATCATCACCGATAATAAACACCAAGTCGAACGTATGGTCTAAAATATCATTAAACTAATAAATAATTCAATCCACACAACCTACAACTGATATTTAATCATTATTTTAACCGTCGCAATTTTAACGTAAAGAGTGTTTGCCAAGATAATTTTTCTAATTCTTTGTTGAGCAGAAATAAGACATTTTACGACAGGAAAAAATGAAAACATAATGGTCGGCATATACGCAAATCGGCTAATACACGAGTGTATACGGTACCTATTAACACAGACGCGCTTGTTGTCATTGTGAGTAGAAGAAACGACATGCCTTGGTGGAAGGTTTGTCAGGAGATACTGAGCTAGGCTTCATCCACGTCAATGCATTTTTTATTTTTTATTTTTTTACTCGCACATCAGGATCTAAAAACAAAAAATGTACCGAAAGTGTGGCGAAGCAGGACTGACCTTATAGAATAGTGTTTAAAATAGTGTTTAAAATAGTTTTTAGAGTTCCGTTATTTATTTATTATTATTATTGTTTTTTTGTTTTTTTTTTGTACTTGCCTATTTGCCTATAAGATGAGGCATTATTAGCAATATTAATGATGTCATCAGCAATTAGATGATGCCAACTTTCATTATGAGAGTGGACATGAAGTAGTAAGTCCACATTTCATGTCATACCGAGCGGTGATTTCAGTACCGAACCGCGGCTCACCTTTACCATTACACCTCTTATATACATCCTGTATATATATTTATGATTTCAGAAAATTCTAAAATTTTGTGTCCAAAACTTTTAAGTTATTTTCATTATGAATTTATTTCAGTTTACATAAGCCAGTTGTATCTTTGGTTTCTACCTGTCATCCCTCCTCCGTCTCTTGCCTCCACCACCAGCAGGTACGACTCCACCTGCTCTCTGTCCAGACTGCTGATGGCCACAGTGATGGTTCCAGTGGTCGGGTTGATAGTGAACATTTCAGAGAATGTCGGAACTCCTCCTCGTTCTCCAACTTCTTCTAAGTCCATGTTCGTGACGTCTAGACTACCCACAACTCTGTAGGACAGCACAGCATTCTGTCCCACAGCAGCGTCGTCCAGGTCGGTGGCTGTCATCTCCATCACAGAAGTCCCTGCGGGTGAGTTCTCCAACACCTCTCCCTGACAGCTTGGTGCGCAGGTGAAGACGGGAGCGTTGTCGTTAATGTCCCAAACGTTGATGATGACATCGGTAAAGCCAGTCAGACCTTCACCGCCTTCGTCTGTCGCTAGGACGACAAAACGCCACACAGCGCGCTCTTCGCGGTCCAGAGTCCTCTGGGCATAGATCCTTCCTGTGACCTCATCAATGATAAACTCTCCCTCTGAACCCTGGCCATGAAGAGAATAACGCAGGGCCTCCGGGTCCGCACCCTTATCAGGATCAGTAGCTGTTACCTACAACTGTAACAGCAGAGGACATCAATAAATGGTATGTTTTGGTTTAATGCTTTGCTACTTTTTAAGCTAACATTCAATCAAGTTATCCTAAACTACTGATTTTCAAAGTGGGACCACCGGATGCTTTGCTACTTTTTAAGCTAACATTTAATCAAGTTATCCTAAACTAGTGATTAGTGGGCACTAGGGTGACCTCAGAAAATACAAGGGAGGATAAGAAAAAAAATGCAAAAATAAAAACAGAATCTAATATTTTTTTTTAATTTAATTTTATTAATAACAATTTGTCCTGAACTGCACAACATGTAAACTGCTCTGTACTGTTTCTTACTGGCTATAGTTGAGAGACAAATGAAAATCAAATAATATTAACAAATCTTTTTAGATGAAGATATCTGTATGTGTAATTTCTATTTTTTTTATTATTTAAGGTGTTATATCTAATAATAATTTTGTCACTAAATGTTTGACATCGGCTTCAAACATCATCTAAAACATGCAATGAGCCCATGTTTAATCAAGTTTTCATCCCTTCTCTGTCTACCTAACAAACTGTGCAACTTCCCAATGACTGAACAGATGGGCAGCCCAGTTAGTGTTCACCCTGACATGTTTACTGTGGTCCTAATTTCTCTGCCTCCGACTGTTTCAAATGTCCTCCTCCCTCTGTGACTATGTGCTGCACAGCAGCTCTAATTAATAATGGAAACCTAGGGTTGGCGTGACGTCTGTACTGGAAACAGCTCACAGTTTCTGCCTGCAGTTAAAAAGCCTCCTTTAGGTGAATCTGTCACAATCCTCTGCTGCATATGCCTCTGTGGTTTGCTTATTTCCTCTTATCATCTGTATCACAGTCATATCTGTCTGTGATTCCACCTTGACAGAACATAAAAAACCTGACTAACAAGGGATGAAATGTTCCTCTGTTGAACAGTTTTTCATTATCGTTGTCATATTATTCTTTTTTATTGTAATTTGCCCTTAGACTATCCTAAGGTATTCCAGACAATTTGTATGTGTACATTTTTTTTACAAAAGTTTTCATATTAAGACTGACAATTTTTCAGTCAAGTTTGGGAACATTTCTGCTGAAATTAAATAAGAGGACAGTGTGTGAATGTGAAGAGTAGGGCATTTGTATCCAACCAATACACTGGGCAGACACTTGAGTGCAAATTCATATTTGTAGAAAAAATAAATAAATAAGATGCCTCATGTGCTGATGACTAAAATTGAACTACTGTTAGCTGCAGACCATTGATGAAAAGCAGAGGGCGTTGTGTTTGGATACAGGGAGAAAGCAACAAAGGCGTAGAGGAGAGCGTCAGGACCTGATGATTGGAGAGGCCACAAGCAGGAACTGCAAAGGCATTAGCCATACGACAAATGTAGTAAAAATAATGGTAGACAGAGTGAGGCCAAGGCAAAGGATTAAGATCAGTGAGCAGCTGTCATGGTTTTTCTGCATGGGGCACACCTGGTTAAAGTGGTAAATGTCCCTTTAATATTAGTCCCATATGTGAATTCCACCCATTAGAACATACAGTTTAATAAAACTACCTGTATATTCTTCCATGAAAACATCATACCCAATGTTAAATTGCTGTTGACTCAATGTATCTGTGTAAAGTATCTCAACCAATAGATACAGCTATCAGTTAGGACAGGGATTCCCAAAGTGTGGTGCTTCCACGAGCTGTAACTAGGGGGTGCACAAGATAGAAAAAAATCTGATGGCGATTTGTGGATTTTTTTTTTTGGTTGGGATTTTACCAAACATTAAAATCGTACCGACACTAAAGAGGTTCTCATAACAATTAATCACATAAACATAACTCACACCTACTAGTTTCCATCAGCTTACTTAAACTGTGTGTAGACACTGGTGAAACTACTGGTTGCTGAAAAAAAAAAAAAGTCAAATCGTTTCATCTAACAAAACTAATCTATTAAAAAAAAAAACTTAGAGAAACTACTGATGAAATCAATCCAAATTACATTCTTGCTGACTTTCAAAGCTTTCAAAGAAGCTTAAATTAATGTTGAGCAGAGCTGACATTTCAGGTTATTTTACCTAATGGAGAGACCACTGCAGAACCAGTATGAGACAGCAGGTATTGTCTGTTAGTAGATCATTTATTATATCAATCAACCTGACACTTAAAAGATAGTTTTTTAAATATCTAATACCAGTGAGAGTTGAGGGTTATTTTTATGTGGTTGTAAAAAAAAAAAAAAAAAAAAAAATTTTTACTGTTTAGTGTTCCCTCTCTACATCATGGTTCTCCTTTCACTACCTCAGTGCATCCCATATTTTTTTAAAATTTTTAATCTCACGAAATGTTCGCTATATCGTGGAATATAGCAAGAAAAATAAACTAAAAGACATTATAAAATAATTATACATACATACATATGTGTATAAGGATTTTGAAATTAAGATAAGCCCATTTGCGAACGATCGCTGTTAGCTTTGTTTACCTAGACGAGATCGTATACAGCATACTATTGGCTAGTACAATGCGTACTCGGTGTACTTTTGGCTAGTTGAGCCACTCTCTTTTATTCTGCGTTGCCATTCTACAACTCTACTGTGCATATAATTGTGTGGAAAAGGGTAATACTCAGTCTAGGGAGGGTTGATAACAGTGTGAGGGAGGTTCATGAAGGGTAAATATATACGTAAATAATTACGTAACTATTATAATAACTATATAGCAATTTTTCCCATTTTGCAGTGGGTCGTGGAACGCAACTACTGCGATAGGAGAGGGATCGCTGTAATCTATTACAGCTTGTGGTATTCAAATATGTTTGTTGTGTATCTGCCCGTAGAGAGCTCCTTTTAAAAAGGAAATATGGTTTGTTTACTGCTCACATTCTCACCAGAGCCTATTGGAAAGAAAAATTATTTTTATAACACACGCATGCTGATCCACTGCTACCTCCTTTAGTAGGTTAAAATGTTATATTATATATTACATCATAAATAATTTACAACAATTTCAGGTCTAAATCAGCGGTACAACTGGCCACACGAGGCAGCAGTAGCGATATCGAGTAAGGAGTGAGGAAGTGGTTTTAAAGCTCCAATGGTTATAGACACAGTTGATTGATCTTAATAAAGGAAGTCAGACAGAATCTGACAGAATTACGTCATCATACGTTGCTGGGTAATAAGTTAATATTAATTGTCCGGAAGAAGTACCTGAAGGACAAACACCGGTGAGCCGTCCAGTTCCTCTGTCACACTGCCGTAGTACTCATTCACAGTAAACACCGGCGCCTCGTCGTTTTTGTTTACCACATTAACCGTCACCGTTGTGTAATCCTCCCACTTTCCATCGGACGCCAGAAGGTGGAGTTGGTACCTGAAACAAATGAAACATATTAAGACAATACTTTCAAAATAATTGGTGTTAAATTGCAAAGGTGATGTGAAAATGTAAACTATTAGCTAACAAACATATTAACATATCAATATCAGAAAAAAGACATAAATGTTCAAATTCACAGTGGGCCACAATTTAAAAACTGGGACAAAGTCGCGGCCCAAACCCAATATTTATTATAAAAATGTATGGCAATTGTGCACATTTTCCCTTCTCTCCAGATATGTAATGTAGAATTTTTTCATATGGAAACAAACTTTACTTTTGAGTAAACTTTGAATATGGAACAATCAAAACTTAATATTATAAACACATGAAAAATTAGATATGAAATAAGACACACCTCAGTAGTATTTGTTTCTTATTATGTCTCTTTATCTGTAGCCTTTTGAGTCATTTAATTTAATGTAAATCTTTTTCACAGGCCAACAACAAAAAAACTGAAATGTATGTGATATAATAAAGCACATACACCGCTAATACTACAAATCCTGCCAGTATATAGTGGCTTTATACTGTGGGCCAGATTTGGTCCCCAGGCCTGAGTTTGACACGTGTGCTCCAGGACTAACTGCACAGAGAACCTCTGCTCATGTAGCCACTCATGTTTTTCCTTCCGAGTGCCTGTTACAAATGACTGGTGGCTTAGCGTGTTCTTGTGTAAATATTCCTTCATATTCCAAGTGGCGTTACCACCCATTTTTAGAAGTGATTATGATTATTGGTTAAGTCAATGATAAAATATCCCCCTAAGCCAATCAGAGGTAAAGCACTTTTTGGCACACATGCTGAAGAAAAAGCACTTTTACTATTTGACTTTCCCAGGGGACATCAAATTTCACAACTCTTTCACAACAAAAGTACACATCGCCCAATCTGTTAATGCCCTAGTTGACACCAATTTAAAAAAAAAAACAACCTGAAATTAAAACAAGAACTGTAACAAGTGGTTCTCAGTGCCCTTTTCTACCTTTTGATCTGTTCATAGTCCAGAGTCTGAGCGATGAAAATGGTCCCGACTTCAGGTTCCACATCAAAAACACCTCCTGTGTTTCCTGAAGTGATCTGGTATCGAAGTTTGGCATTTCCACCTGCGCATAAAAAAAAAGGTCACGAAACTGATTAAACAAGCGTTAAACATGTCACGTTGGTTTAAAGGGTAAATAAGCAACCACAATCAGCAGCATCAGAATCATCAGTTCAACAACTAATTAAACACTAATGAGTTAGATACTACATTGAAAATGTATCAAGGTACTTTGATTGTCCACTAGACCAGGGGTTTACAACCCCCGGTTCGGGAACAGGTACTGGGTCGCAGTGATACACAGTGAAACCATGTGTTTCAGTTTTACTAATTTACTCCAACAGGTAATTCAGACTCTGATACCAACAGAATAAAGTGTAAAGGATGTTTGGTTTTGAAAATTGAAAATCCTTCAATGATGGCAAGGTATTAGCGGTCCGCAATAACGGCTGATACTGGCCGATCGGTCCTTGGTACAAAAAAGGTTAGGGGCCGCAGCAGTCGTCGACACCACGGATGGCTCAATCTGATACTCAGGATCAGTATCCTTCAAGTATTGGTCAAAATTTCAGGATCCAACATCACAAAAAAAAAAAACACTACACAACTGCGACATGCTATAAACAGGGTCACTATCGCCTCAGCAACGGCTAACAAGTTACAGTATCGGACATGAAAAAGTTGTATCCAGCCGTTCTCAGACTGAACTAGCCTTACTTTCTCCACTCCGAATGTGGTCCATGTTTTTTTAATATTGTCTGGTCAGAAAATCAGATCTACTGTGTAGTTAGAAAAATTACTCTAAAATGTTCTAAATCCAGCTACAGGTCCTTGAGTTAGTTCAGAATTCACTTAGGATTTTAGGTTGGACTGGAAACAGCACGATATACATCCCACAACCTGCAGTGATTTAACTTCTTTAGACAAAAAATAATTTCTTATTTTTCTAATGGTTCCTCATTTTCCAGTCTCAAAGTAGTTTAAATGTCACCACAATCAGCAGATAATAAGTAATAGAGCAGAATTTACAAGCACAGGTTTTTGATGGATTATATGGAACTGCCTCAATAGCAGGAGGTGTGACATTTCATTTAAGTCATTTTAGATTTATTAGGTATAGCGTTAACCTTAAAAGAGGCGAAAATGACATAAATTAACCATGGTCGACAGTGCATAACATCCTCACAAGTCTCCAAGTCAATAACTGGTTCTGAGAAATAGACCAAGTTACTGGACTTAAGACTTCCATAGTGGTTTCATAGTGTAGCGGTTAGCATAGCATGCCTGCCTCAGACGCAAAACCCAGGTAGTCCTGGGTTTCAATTCCCAGAGGAGCAACATACTCAGCACCGGCGAATGGCAGCCTGTTCCGGCAGGTTTGCTGTTAACACAGTACTTTCAAAATGGACCCCCCTGCGGGGGCGCAGTGAGGTGCCAGCAGGTGCGTGAGTGGCTTCCAATGGAATATGGCATGCTGGAAATAAGTGTAATACCACTGCTATAATGCTTGAATGCTAGCAAGCCTCCAGTCACTAGGTGGCAGCAACTCATACAGTGGTTTGTACAGATTAAAAATATACATGCATGATAGAAAATAACTGAGAACCACTGGGTTAACATAAGAATTTCCAAAGCGTTCAAAATACTATTGTATACTAGTCATTCAAAACTATTCATTTACATGATCAGGGCACTACACTAAAAAAATAAGATACGTTATATTTGGTGTCTAACATTGGACGGATTCAAAGACAGAGCCAGAGTCAGCAGAGGTAGAAAGTAATAAATTACATTTACTCGAATTACTGTAATTAAACTTGTAGATTGAGGATTTGAACAGATAGTGAGAGGGAATTATTTGTCATTGTGACACAGCACACCACTGCACAAAACCCCATCAACAAAATGAACAGGTGGCAGCTTTAAGCACCCAGGGAGCATTCCAGGTCCGCTTCCTTCTCCACTGCCCTGAGATGTGAGTAATTCGACATTTTTTAAGTAGTTTTGGGAATAGGTAATTTTACGTTTACTTAAGTACATTTTGACTCAAGTATTTGACTTTGCTACATTGGGAAATAACCCATTACTCCTGTGGAGCCGATGACTCAGAGAGAGAAGGAAATCCTTGGCCATATCTCAGCCAGATCTTTGTTTTCAAATGTGAACTTGGAAATAGCTTTATCATGCGTACAGATGGGATGTGCATCTCCTTTTGTGCATGAAGTAATTTACAGTAACTAAGTTACTTTTACTTAAAGTAAATCTTGTTTTTTTTGTACTTTTATTCAAGTTGATTTTTAAATAGGTACTTTTACTTGAATAGAATTTAAGCAAAGTAAAGGTACTTTTACTTAATTACATTATTTTAATGTTTTCCACCTCTTCCTGCGGAATCTTCTGCAACTCTACTTATGAACTTCTCTACTGCGTGAACACCCTGAAGAAAGGTGTCTCTTTGTGCCGATTTTATTAACAGTTGGGTTCAAATTTAAATCGGTTATTAAGAGCTGAGAGACTGAAGTGCAGCACAGGAACAAACGTGTCTGTACTAATTTCACAATTTAGGTGTCATAGTGCCTCGCTGACAACACTGCAGGTTTGCAAACAGAGCAACGGCGTTTAAACAACACAAACATCAGTTTCTGCTTGTACATCATGACAGTTGACACCACACCGACTTGGCTGATGCCAATGTCTTTTGTTCTTTTTTTTTGTCATCAATTCCCTCTTTTGTGCCACATTACTGAACTACCGTAATTTCCAAACTATAAGCCGCTACTTTTTTCACACACTTTGAAACCAGCTGCATAAGAAATGATGCAGCTAATTTATGGAAATTATACAGGCTAACGAAGTTCATACCGTTAGCGATCAATGATGTTTATGGTAGGCTGCTGTGTGCTATACTAGTAGCGTATGTCGGTCTGTGAATGGCTGTGTGCGTATATGTGCGTGGGGCACGAGAGAGAACGAACGGTAGCAAAAGCTAAGCGCAGTTTGAGCCCTGTCATGTTGAACTGTGTTTTGGTTATACAGGAGCTGTAAAAACATTGTGTGGCTGATAATAAAGACCCCAACTTCCCTGTTTCTGTTTACATCTGCTGTGGACAAGCACAAAGTGAAGGGGAGTTAGCCCCGATGCTAATGTTAGTTTCGGCCCTAGAGCAGATCACTAAGTCTCCCCTACGGTTGGGGCGCAGAAGCAGGAAAGAGCTAATGTGTAACCAGGCGCTGCCTGTAACCAGGCACTGTTCTAAAAAAAAAAAAAAAAAACATTTATTTAATTAAAAGTAAATATCTCAACGTGGACATCTGCGGATTATAGAGAAGTACGGCCTAAATATGTAGAATTATTTTGTTATTTTTCAATTTGAATGTGTGTGGCTTATATGCAGGTGTGCTCAATAGTCCGGAAATTACTGTATTTTAAAAATCTTACAGCAAAATATAAACATTTGGAGTGATTGGAGTCAAAATGTCAATACAGCCCAAAACCTATGGTGTGTGAGCTAAACAGTGCAGAGTTTCTGTCCTCACAACCCGACTGACTGAGAGGCTTATCTAAGGAAATATGGGTGTGTAGGGAGTGCTAGCATATTGCTTTAGTGTATTTCTTTATTTAATTTTTATTTTCTTTGTCCTCCGAAGTCACATTGTGTATGCGTCTGTGTGTGCGCGTGTGTGTTGTTGATACATGCACACTGTCTCATGAGATAAATAGAGTTTAGAAAGCGGTTCACTGGGAAAAAAAACATTAATTTTCCCTGCGTTTGTTTGTTTATTTTAAGTATTTCATTGCTCTCACGGCTCCTTTTTTTTTTCCTCCCGTCCTCCTTCTTCCTCTGGGTCTCAGCACATTTATAAATACTTAAGCAATTGAGACAAGTAGAAAACAAAACATGCAGCAGGCAGAGAGAAAAGAAAGAATTTATCCCTAATGTCTCATTTAAAATGAGCGGCAGAGAGGCTACAAAACGGTATGGATTAGAGCTTTGTCCTCTCCTCTCCTGGCTTTCATCTGGATAATAAGCTGTGAATGTGCAGCGCTCTGTTTCTCTGCTTTCTCCTCTTTCATCTGAACACAGGGGGTGGTGGTGCCGCTGATGGATACTCTGCTGATTTAGATGCAGACCTTGCCTCCGACACTAATTGCATCGAGGGGGGAAACACTGTGTTGATCAGCTTCTGCTGCATATTATTAAAAAATACTTTGCAAAGCAAGAAAAAAGGAGAGTGTTAAACGAGAAGGGGAAAAAAAATAAAAAAAATTTTGATATCATTTTTGCTTAGCCCAGTGGTATTCTCGCTTGTTTAGAGAATTACTTATATGTTGCATTAATGTTTTGTTTTATTTCCCCGATTTCAACCATCTGCACCAAATTTCCCGACTTAAAGTTAAAACGATTTCAGCTCACAGGACTTGTTAATCCACTGCCGTGACCATAATTAAGATTAATATGAAATGTTGCTGCGTCTGCATGATTTTATTTGTTTATTTTTTTCCTGTGACACACACTTACCACAAGAGGCAGCAGTGGCCCAGAGAGATAGCTAAAATAACTTTTTCTATGAACTTTGGCTTTAGCAGCGCTACAACTGAGCTACTTGATATTTAAGATGACAGATATTTTAGGGTTAAGTTTCACTGACTAAGTACTACTTATATGTAACTAATTAGTCACCGTTACCAACGTCTTACAGTTGGACTTTATTTCATTTGAACGACAGGAGATTCAAACACGTCTGCTTGTGTTTCCTCAATCTTTCTCCAACGGTGGTTAATCATTTTAAGCAGGTTTTTACATGATCCCTCACGAATCTTCATTAGAAGATAAGTGTCCTTTTGATATGGGTAGTGTGTTTGCGGATTATTTATCAGACTCGTGTAAAATAAACAGCAGGATTCTGCAGTCTCCTGTGATGAATTCTGGGAAACAGAGCACGGTTGCTCAAGCACAAATCTTAAAAGTCCACAAAGACATAATAATGTCTTTATTTTAATTAAATAATGCCTTTATATTGAATTAAATATGACAGTATTGTGGCCCAATACTGTCACAGTTT